TTTCCAGGATATAATTGAGTTAAAATCAGCCAAACGCATTCAGTGCTCCCTCAGATGACAAATGAAACGTGTAACGTAAAAGACATTAGAAAAGAAACCTAGTAGCGAAAAACTATTTTAACACGTTGAGTAATTTGCTGTTAGATAGATTATACGCAGTCTGAAGAATACAAAAAATAAACCTGTATTTGTTCCCCGTTTAAAACTCCGACATACCGTTCAAAAAAAAAGCGATTAATTTGAAACTGTCAAAGATAGTTAGTCATTAGCCGCCGCAGTATTTTCGTTCTCCTTCCCTCATAATTCCTGATCGTTTTCCTCATTGAAATAAGGTCACATTCTCCCAAACTCCAGTCCTCATAATTTTACAAGCAAATCTAGGTCTAAGACGCAATTGTAAAAGAGCTCAAAACTTAGTTTTCTTACACTTATTCTCCAAAAAATCCAACAAATTTTTTTGAAATAATGTCTTGTCTACAAACAATGTAATTTCAGAAGTGTTGTCTTCAAACCGACCTGCTTTTCTTTCTGTTCCCCCAGTCGAGTAACCTGAAGTTTGCACCCTTTGCAAGTATGATATACTTCTCTCTTCTTAAAAACTATGGAGAGCAACCAACATTTTCTTGCTTGCTCATTTTTCCACGACTTGATCAATTATGGCCCTAGCAAACAAGCATTCCAATTTTTTTAGTTAAACAATCTACCGATTCAACTGCACACTTCTATTTTTCTTTCTCACCCTTCAGGACCAAAAATCAGCAGCAGGTTTAGAAAGAACCCATTCATTAACTTTTCAACAAGTTGATTACTGTTTCCTATTTTTGGGAAATCTTTGCTTTTAAGTACCAGGAAAAAATACAGAAAAAAAAAAGATCGTCATTTTCCGTAGGAATCAATGTTTAATTAAGTTAACAAAAACCGCAAGTTTTGTTTAACGTCAGTTTTTACAAAACCTCATGTTAAAGTCCTTATCCACACTTTCTTTAAATGGAGCGCATATGAAGCTATTACATGTTCGAGATGTTAATTCGCAATTGTTGCATGCACGTAATTTGACCTCTGGAAAGACAAAATCTTCACTTAAAAAGCTTTTGGTACATTACTCCACCATTGAAAAGATTTTATTTTATACTAAAAACTACAAGCTACTGAGGTAGAAACTGCTTTTTCATTTTCGAAATTTCAGAGTGAAAGAAACAGTAAAAAGTTTTGTCAATAAGATATGATAAGAAAAAAGAATAGAATCTAGACAACGGCAAGATAAAAAGTGGAGGTACATATAAAGAAGAAATTGTAGACGAATAACGACAATATCTGAACAACATTTCTATTGAAACTACAGATGCAATAGGTGTTTTCAAAATATCTTTCTGGCTTTTGAAATTAATTTTTTTTACCAGAAACCAGTATGCCGGAAAATTAAGAATTGTACAGCCAAGGAAAAACAACCTGTTGAAAAGGAATGCAGAATAACGGAAGTAGAATAAAAAATAGTGCGAAAAAATGACAGCCGCCGTTCTTCCCGTATCCTCTTTACCTGCAGCGTTGATTTACGGCGATAACGTACAGGAGGCGGATCCATTTTTGTGCCGACAGATCCTCCATTTCGCGTATGTGGCGCCAAAAACAATCGGCTGAACTGCAAAGTTTTGGCACTGTGCCGAACTTTTATTGCTGTTGGCAATTTCAGTGTCAGAAATCCACTTCCGCTAATCGTTTATTTTTTTTTTGCCGTTTCGTCTTCTTACCAATTTCATCTTGCAGCAAATGCTCCAGTAAATTGCGGTAATACGTACGTTGCAAAAACGTATGCTGCGTTTCGCGTAATGAACGCTACCGTGAAAAAAAACGTTACGCCGATTTTTCACAGTCGCCTTTTTTATTAGGTTTCAATAGTGTTTTATTGCTCTTCTGCAATATATTTGAATAGTAAACAGTTGTAGAGTGGAGATATCCAAATGTAATAAGTGTTTGTTGGATAGAGATAAAACTAAATACTAAGGGAATTTTTAGCGGCGTCACGGTGATTGAAGGACGCCAGTACTGCCAGTAACTGTATACGTCTTTACACAATAAGGTTGCGTACTTTTTTAGATAGTTTAAGTCACTATTCATTGTTATTGCTCATTCTTTGTTCATCTTAAATTTTTTTCTTTTTGGTTCACAATTTGCAAGTTTATTCGTAAATGCTTGCTAATTTGGTTTACTATTCATTGCACCCTGGACAAGCTAGTTAACACCTATTCCAGTATAAGTAAATTTGTTGCTAGTAAATTTTGTATCATCTATTTCAATAGTCTTTGAGTGAGCAGGCGGAGTTCCTTCTTTTTATGAAACCGGAGCAGAAAAATCGTTCAAAGTAGTGCAAGGTTTCTTATCTCTTTACTCTTCCGGAAATAAGTAGTTAATTGATAACAGCTTGTCTGTCAGATCATACAGTTATCAAAAAATACTTATTGAAGTTTTCTCAGTAATAGAGAATGAGCCTGTATGTGAATAATGCCCAATTCTGTTAATAAGGGAGGAGTTGAAAGGAAGGTGGCTGCGTTTTGTTCCAGAACTTCCAACATTGTCACAGTACGAAAAGAAATCAATATTCTGCAATCTTTGTAAAGTTTGAACCAGTTCACCATTAAGATTTCATGAATTTGTTACGTTTAGTTGCCGTTTTAACAATTTCTTGTAATTTGAAGTTTCTATGTTTTATAAATGCAGAGACATTTGACCTATACTTCTGACTTGTCCCAAAAGCTTTAAAATGATTTCGTTCCATTACTTCCCTTACAAGTATCTCATTTTTTGTTGGTGTATCTGGGCTCTTCTACTGGACAGTGATAAAATATTTGATGGCAGTCGCCTATCAAATCAGTTTTGTAAATATGACGACCGCACTTTAAAGGTGACATACATTCGTGTCTGTTCAAAAATCAGTGCTGTAAATGTTTGTTAAAAGTCTTCACCATTATTAAATACTGTCAATTTTTACTGCAAAGAGTGCACCACTGCAAGATACTGGCGTTGTAGCCCTGAGCGAATATAGCGTGATACGATAAGAATTTGCTAAAGTGTTCATTCACTTTTCGACACTGATATAACTTGAAACCAAGTATAAAACGAAGCATTGTTTGCAAGTTAATTTGTTTGGATAGATGTAAGCAGAAGAGAAAATATTTAAGGATTTTAAAACACAGGCTTGCTTAAAACTCTTTAGAAAGTGCTAAGATAGAACTAAGTAAGAAGCAACAGTGAAACAGGAATAATAATGACGTTTTTCTCCGTCCCTCATATACACCGCTATAGGAACCTGGATCGGTTCAATGGCGCAGTGGCTTTTTAAGCCCCAGATTAAGACTTAATCTTTAGCTTTCCTTTAGCAACAGTATTAAACTAGGATTTTATTGTAGATTCGGTTCTTAAACCTTAGAAGAACTACTAATATTGAACAGGACGCTCAGAACTTTCATTCGCTACCATTTTTTAAATTACGCATGTCAGAGCAAACTTCATCTCACTTGCACGTTTCTCAGAAGATATTATTACAGCTGCGCCATCTAATAAAAACGAAGGCGTTCTGAAGCACTCTAAAGCTAATGGAACGTTTCTCACTCATGAAGCGGCGTCGGCCATAAGGTGGTCACCACTTTCCAAAATATACCACACCGATGTCCTATAACGCCAGAACCTTTACAGACTGCAAGTAACTTTCAACAAGAAATTGTAGATGAAAATGCATAAGCAGAATCCAACCTTCAAATGGTACCAGTTTCGCGTCTAGCTAATAGTCAGACGACAACTGCCAGGGAAAAAAAAAAACTCGCTGCAGAAAAACTGCGTTAGATGAATCTAGAAACCGCACAACCAGTAAGACGCTTAAAGCAGGCCAAACTTTTTCGAACCTTTTCTATACCGTAGAGAACTATGGGAAAAAACTATGTGCAAAAAAAAAAGTCGCATATTCCCATCAAAGTCGTTCTTCAGTACTACTGCGCTGTAACCCCCTAC